CTCAAGCGCATCAACAGAAAACGCTAATCTCACCAAGATGTACATAAATTCCAACAGAAGTTAAGCCCCAAATCAGAATTAGCAGTTGAAAGATACTGTATATTACTCCTAGAGCATAGATTCTTATTAAAAAAGTTATATATCTATACTATTGCCCTAGTATTAAAGGTGTTATTTAATGCAGCGTGATGGACGTGCAGTACAAAAAACAGCGTGGGGAGGCATTCTTATGTATTCTTAGCACTCCTGCAACCTTAACACTATGCTAGGACTTGACAATATACAAAATCAATTGAGATACGGTGTGAGGAACATCAAATATGCGATAGAATGCTAATTTGTATACGATTGCCCTTACAAGCGGCATTCTCCGTCATTTTTGATGTTCCTACGCACGAGCCATTTCAAATACCCCGTCGATTTCAAGAACCCCCTCAAATACTCTAGTAGTTCCGACCAGCTTTAAAAACGCGTACACAAACTTTAACGCTGTACTTCGCCCCCTAATACACAGGTTAGCCAGCTATATTATATACTTTGTAGTTGAAAAATGGACTATAATTAATTTGCATCGACAACTAAGACTGTACCTAATGAAATAACCTTGCTACCTGTGTGTGAAGTTAAGACGCGTTGAAGATTCCGACCTGCTTACACCTAGGGGGGGGGGGGCAGGGGTGTGGCAGGGGGGTTAGGGGTAGCGCGGGTCCTATTGGCTCAGGAGTTGGCAGAAGTGGGGCTGTGGCAATGCAGTGGGACCGGTGGGGTTGCACCGCCTCGAAATTCTCTGTGAAGCGTCTGAGGCACTGAGATAAGACATAATGTAAAAGCGTCGTGCTCATCCCGTGACAGCTGCCAAAGCCTAAAAGGTGAAACTATCTGCTTCAAGAAGTCAGTTAGACTTGGACCTCTCTTCACGAAGGTTCGCTCTGAGAAGAGTCATCAATATATAGTCTTACGTAGAATAAAATCAGGCACGTGACCTGGGGGATAGTTCTTCCATATCCGTACATGTGCAAGGTCGACCTCAGCGATCAACGTGGCCTATAGATCCAACTCGCACTAATCTTGGAAGTCTAGTCCGGCACTATCCCGAAGCTGCACCTCTCATCAAGATCTTTAGCTGCGGCTTCATGACGGTCAGGCTGGTGGCCTTACTGTCCAGTTCTAACCTCAGCCTTGACTCCACCCCCAGTCGTATCTCTACCACAGCCTGGTGGTGGCGAAGCGGACTATAAGCACCGGCAACTAACTTTCAACGAAGCGCATAGCACACGAGAGTTAAGGCAAGTCTTTTTATCATCCCGTGGTGATGGTGACAGTGCCGCAGTCGAACTAGGCGGCAGAGGCCAGGCAACACTGATATCTTCACTGCTTTCACTGAGTCACCAATCACACCCTGGTCACGGCCAGCTAGCCGAGACACATATCACCTGCTACAAATACAGCCTGATAGTAACTTTCGCTCCTTCTCTCCTCCACTCCAGACCAAACCTCGATCATGGCTCCCCGACACACATGCGCCGTCTGCGGGTCGCGGAAAGTCCGCGAGGCTTTCCCTCGGGGTATGTCAGGCAGTCGGGTCACCGCGACATGCAGTGAATGTCTTGGCCAGACTCTGCGGGACGACGAGGCTTGGACCGGTCTTGGGTTGCGCGCCGACCAAAACACCCAGGAGGGCGACCAATCCGCAGGTATCGCTGACAACCAAGACGGCGGAGAGGCGCCTGATATCAATCCCACCGTGGCTGAGCCTACGAGGAAGCGCAAACGCCGAAACCCGACAGGTTACCCGCCTACCAAACGTCGCAAGCAGCCCAAGGAACCCAAACCTCCTCCACCGCTATCGGCAACCTGCCGCATCTGTGTGGAAGAAAAGGAAGTTAGCGAGTTTGTCAAGAATGCGCGGAGCCGCAGGTTATCGACGGCCCTCCCCTTTGAGTGCATGGCCCATCTAAGCCACAGGCTGAACGGCCTCCCCAACAAGGCCGGTGGTGCTGTTTGCAAGAGCTGCATCGGCAACTCACTGGCTGCTGGTCTTGAGAGCACTGGCGCTGAGAACCTAGGCTGTCTGGAACCCGATTGCGATGCCGGCCCCTGGAGCTACGACTACATCAACCAGTACATGCCGGTGGAGGCCCTGGAAAACTACCACGAGCAGATGTTCACGATGTTCATGGCCACCGCGTCTACCTTCAAGTGCCTGAACGCCACATGTGGTGCTGTTGGACTCTTGGAGCAGACGGCCCCTGGCTTCCCGAATGTTGTCTGCTCTGCGTGCAGCCATCGTCATTGCGCGCTATGCGGGGTGGACTGGCATGAGGGTATCTCGTGCCAGGCATACCGTGCCAAGAACCACAAGGAACTGATCACCGCTGAAGAAAAGGCTGCTCTAAGGATGCTCAGTAAGATGGGAGCGAAGCGTTGCCCGCGCTGTCAGCTGGCTATTCACAAAGATGGAGGATGTAACTCAATGTATTGTAAGCACTTATTCACCCTTTTCTTGCTGTCTTAAGGGGACTTGATCGGTGATGCTAATGAAGACATCATAGGCATCAACTGCAAGCGATACTTTGACTGGAACACGGCCGAGCCTGTCCTCGGGGTGAGCAAGAAGGCGGCGCCGCTCAAACAGCAGCTCGATTACTGGCAGGAGGTCTGCGAAGCTGATGCCCTGGCTGCTCCTCCGGTTCCTCCTCCTGTCCATCCTCCAGTTCCCGCTGGTAACCTATTCGATGCGGGGAACCCCTTCGCTGCTGAATTAGACGTCTTTAGGAATGAGGCTATGCCACTCCCCGATGAAGATGACGCAGACCCACTTTAGTGGCCGTGCGATGGCGACGGGTGGTTGAATGGAATCCATGATCAGTTCAGACTTAGGAGCATTCAACGTTATTCTCCTAACTGACTGGAGTTTGATTCACGGTAGGCGTTGGTATGCTTCAGGAGTTCGTGGCTGAGGAGGGTCTCGGTGGGTTGATTAACGACATCACGAATAGAATACATACTCAGGCTTATTCCAAAATATATGCTGTAGTGATTTGCTTGTTCATTGCTGTTTGAAGTTCTCCGGTACATTTGTAGATAACGAGTTTCATCCGTTTTGGAGAATCCATGGGCTCGGCAGGCTACTCAAAGAGGACTTATCTTGAGTGTCCGAGGGTGTGGAGAATAGATACCCCAGACAGTGGTAAGCTTGTCCTAGTTCTGTACTAACAAAGCTATCCATTTTAGTCTTGTTGTGCATCAATAGCCCTGCATAAGTCTCCCGCACTTGTCTTCATGATTGTGTAGGCTATGCATCTCAGCAATAAACCGGCGAGCAAGAACGTAGGCTGCACAGTACAGACGCTGGATAGAAAGGAGGCGACAAGCACATGGAATTGGAACGTAGAGTTGCCGAGAGGTGATGAGGAAATGGATGAGATGCGGTGAAGTGCGCTATTCCCCGCTATCCCCCTTCAGGCTAGCGGCAGAGTGGAGATTCGATGATTCGTTGGCGCAAATGCGGAGTTAGCATCGCGGCAGTTGATTGGGCAATTGGAAGCATTAGAAAGCTTAACTCGCGCCGGCTCGCCATGGGAACGATCACCTGCAGCCGGCCGACGCGCCAGCGCACAACAGGCACCGTGGAACGAGTGGTCGGAGCATCTTGTTCTTTGCGAGATGAAACGCGAGTCGAGGACCCTGCTTCCTCAAGACTGTGCTGGCGATGCCAATGGCTGGCCGGTGGTTCTGGACGAGTCTTGATCAGACGAGACGGCGGCGGAATCGTGTCTCCAACCACGCGTCGGCCAGGAAGGATGCGGGCAGACGTTGGGGACAACGGTGCTAGCAGCGGCTGTGGCAAGACGAGCCGGGAAGATGCTCGGCCGGCCCCATGTCTGTTGAGCTTCTCCAGCTTCGTGAGTTTGAGGCCGGTGTGGCAACTGTCGAGGCAGAATCATAGCTTCAGCGTTTACGGCCAGCTCCTCGCGGCTCGGCTCTTCGCGCGTTCCTGCAGGCGATGCCAGTGCCCGACTCCTGGGCAGGGCCATGGAGATTGCTTCTAATCTGCAAAGCTCCTGGACGTGCCGCACAGAAAGTACTGGCGCCCAGCCAGGCCGAAAAGCCGGTGGCCATGCACACGGTGATAAGGAACATTGGCAATCACCACCCGCGGCCTAGCTTGCTCTTGCTGCTTGCTGGGTGACGCGCGGGAGTACTTAAACAATCTCGTGCCCCGGTCGCCAGCTTCTTCATTCTTCGCCAGCCACCCCCAAACGTCGCCAGCATCCAGCATCCAGCATCCAGCATCCAGCATCCAGCATCCAGCATCCAGCATCCAGCATCCAGCATCCAGCATCCAGCATCCAGCAGCTTGCATCGTGCATCGTGCATCGTGCATCGTGGGCTCTACTGACCGCCTCACCCATCATCAATCTGCCCGTGAGCGCATCCCAGCATCCTCCCGCGCCGTTGTGCATGCTAACCGGCTCCTGCACCGCACAGACATCAACACTCGACTTCACACCATCGCTATGCTCTACGCCACTCTCCTCCTCGCCGCCTCGGCCTTCTCTGGCCTGGTCGCTGCCCAGAACTACTCCGCGTGCTGCGACATCAACCCCGGCAGCGTCGACCTCCAGCTGCGCGAGACGTGGTGTCGCGCCGAGCAGAACACCTGCCCGGAGCTCTGCGGTGGCATCGGCAACCTCGCGAATAACGGCAATCTTTGCGATCCGGTAAGTTGGGTCGAGTACGACGCAATTGGCGTGCAATTGGGCTGTTGCTGACCCCATGGCTCCAGAATCTACTCACCTACACCTGCCAGTGCCACGACGGCACGAAGCCCAACGTGACCAACTACCAGCAGAGCTTGCCCGCCCAGATGTGTCTCACCTGGGTCGAGCAGTGCGTCAACGCCAATCCCAACGACCTGATCGGCATCACGGCCTGCCGCGCCATCACGTGCGGCAACAAGACCCTGGGTGAGCTCCTTCGTCTCCAGAAGCCTAAGAGAGTGGTTTGCTAATGGACTTCTAGATGCCGCTGCTTCCTCGTCTATTGCCGCCGCTTCCTCGACTGCTGCTCCATCTTCGACTGGTGGCTCTTCTAAGAGCGCCTCTGTCACCGCTGCCTCTGCGACCTCTTCCACTTCGAAAGGCGCTGCCGCCGCTGCGACCGCTATGGGCATGGTCAAGGACTTTGGTACCCCGGTTCTTGCTGCGGGTATGATGGCTGTGTTTGGGCTTGCTCTGTAATTGAAGGAGAATGATTGGGACGTGGCGGATAATACGATGGTAATACGATGGTAATGAGATGAGGTAGCTTACGGCGATGCATGGGTTGCATTTTAGCGATCAGGATGACCACTAGGAGGATTCATTGTAGTGTTATTTTCAAGTAGCATTGACAATTGGAGACTCCACTTTTGAACTGAAACGAATACGAGCTTTGCTATCTTTGTTGGGCTTGAACGCGACGGCTATGAGGCCTTTGACTTACCGCTTCCTTGCCTTGTAGCTGGGTGCAAGATATATCATCTGTCGTGTACAGAACTGCTGTCACATCTCCATTTGTATATAACTGATGAGAACGGTTTGTTGAGCGTTGGGTGCTATACAATATCGGATCCGTAAGGCCAAAAATAAGGCAGAAGCTGCCATCGGTACTGGGAACGGCATTCAAGAGTTGCCAGCCCGAGAGTACAATGTCTGAAGGTAGTTGCCGGGTTTAGAAGTGTGGCAACAGCATGGGCAGCCCCTCCATCAACGTCAGTCGATCAATCTCGAGCTTCACCTCAACATTGGTCTGACCACCACAATACCTGATCAGCTCGATACACTCACCATGCCAGCAGCACTCATTCTCATCGCCGACGGCACTGAAGAGACTGAATTCGTTGCAACGTATGATGGTACCGTGCCCCACCCTAGCTCTTTGTACCCCGCCAACTGCTCAATGTGGAGCTGGCTAGCTATGCTAAAGTCGAGTTTACACAGTCTTAGTGGGAGTGAACGCTAATGGGAGAGAACTGTAGTGCTCGTCCGTGCAGGATTCAGTGTGAAGTCTGTTGGCGTTGGTCTAAAGAATGAGTTTGCGACGTACGTTCACTATCTCTACTTGTCCTATCTCAACACTTCTAGCCATTCGCTCTTCTCTATCTTCTTCAGCACAACACTAATCGCACCCGTACTCAGCTGCACGAGGAACATCCGCATAATCCCCGATGAACACGATCTCGGAACCTTCAAATACAACAGCGAGTCCCCTGAGTACGACGTCTTGATTCTTCCCGGTGGCGGCCCGGGCGCTGCTACGTTTTGTGCCTCCGAACCGGTGCTTGAAGTAATATCGGCCTTCCGTGTGCATAAGAAATGGGTGGCGGCCATATGCGCCGGCACGACAGCACTAGTGGCAAACGTCAAGAAGTCTGACAGCGGATCGGAGGAAAAGGGAACTGTGACCAGCCATCCGAGCGTGGAGGCGGAGATTAAGGCTGAGGGATGGACGTACTCGCAGGAGAGATGCGTTGTGGATGACAGGTTCAAGTTGATCACTTCAAGAGGGTATGTAGCCGGAATCGTATTATCTCTGTCAAGGCACTTCAGCATTGGAAGTGGAAATGAACTAAGCTGACGTCTGCGAATGATAGACCTGGCACGGTGCTGCTGTTTGCCTTGACGATTGTCGAGCAGCTGTGCGGGAGGGAGAAAAGGAAGGACGTTGAGGGACCAATGCTCATGCCTGCTAGCGATAGCTTGGATGGCACGGCTTGATGAAACAGGGACTCCACGACTGATCGGGGTATTGAAATTTTCCCAGCGTTCCAATTTGGGCTAGGAATCGATGAGATACAAACTTCCGTGGGCACTTCTTGCCGTCAAAATAATTATCACAACATGGGAGCGTGATCAGAGAATGAACATGTAGTTCTAGCTCGAGTATGTATCAAAAGATCAATTCTACTCTCTCAAAGCTTCGGTTTATGTTTAAAGCTTTTGCTTTGCAAAATTTCATACTGAGGACATGGGAATGTTGAAAAGTGAGGTGTAGGTCTGTTCCAAGTGTGGATGAGCATTGCCATTGGCGGTACCTGATTTCTTTCACCCCGAAGTTTATGCGCCCGCGAAAATGCTCTCTGTTCTTCACACTTTTGCGATTCCTTGCCAAGAGTTGCTGTGAAGGGAAACTTGGCAGGCGTGGAACCATGGATGACAGTGGTCCGCCCGGCCTCATCCACCTAAAGTACTAGGTCATAAGTTTGGGCACACGGATATACGACTGCTCTGGCTTCGCTCTTGCTCTCTCGGCACCACTCTGAGGAGTGCCCTAGGTAAAATGTCTTTAGTTAGTCAAGAGGTAATTTAATGTTCACTGCGTTGACCTTCACATCGGATTGGAGTTGAGAAAGCCTGTAGGGTACTCCACCCAGTTGCAAGGAGTGCCCAAAGCTACGTCTGGTACTGTATTGAAAGACTCAACATGCAAGGTAGAGGCTACATATGAAACGAGGAAACATCACCTCAACCAATGGGTGACAGTGCACAGTTGAAGAATGGTCAAAAAATCGGGCAAGCAAGTTTTGAAGGTTCATGAGGTAGCACTCATACAACATTGGAGATGAATATGCGAAGCCTTTAATGAAGATTGCGCTCTTCGGTCTTTCTCTGACCTGACCTTCCACGTCTTGATTCCTTTCGTGACTGCTGTCTTTCTGCGTGACCTGCCTCACGCTCTGCACACCCATCAATCTAGTTCTAGTGCAGCGTGGCATGGTGAGGGCACCCCTACGATCTATCGCATTTAATCTCAGCGAATCGACAGGACTGGCAAGCTCCATGAGCAGTATCGGAGCCGGGGGCACAGCTTGGTTCCCCGCGTGTGAGCTGGTTCCTATCCCAGGGTCGAAAAGCCGCGAGCTTACCCAAGAGTCCGTTAAAACCGTTCGCGGCAAATAGCTCAAGGCCATGGAGCGTCGTAATCCCTCTCCGTCAGATTTTGCTGGCGTGGTTTTCTATCAGCGGCGGCCATCTTGCGGCGCTTGTCGACAACTGGTATCACCCAGATTCCCACCGAGATCCAGTGGTCTCATCGCCCTTCCGTATTTTGACTCGCTCGCTCTTGATCTCTCTTCAACTTCCTGGCCGCGACCTGCGCAATCTTCCTCTCCATCTCCTTTCTCCTTCCCTCGAGGCTTTCCCGAGCAATTTCCAGCTGTGCGATTTTCTCGTCCGGCGTTGCGTCGAGGACCTTTTGCTTCTCCTATATACCATAGGGGTCAGCAGTGGGCTAATGAGATGGTGTTGGAGTGTGAAAGGAAACATGCCTGCTTCCACTCCTGCTTCGTTTTCAATCCAGCGCCATACAGCGCGCCCGTTGCTGTAATAGCCGCCACGGCGCCTGTCATGATGAAGCGGCGGATTGTTTGCCGTTGCGACATGTTCGCTGGCGCAGGAAGTAAATGCGAAATAGAAGAACTCCACGAGGATGGGTTAAGAAGCTTCAATGGCAATGGCAATGCGATGATGGGATGGACGCTGTCACCACGGCGGAGGTCCACGAAATGAAGTTTAACTCCGAGCGCGAAAACCCCCTAATGTACTCCACTACTCCATGCGCGGCGCATCAACAAACCCCAAACATCCCACCTCTGCTCTCAACGACACGGAAGGCTGCCAACACCACGTGAACTACTTTCAAGGATAAAGACTGGTACTACGTCACAATGTCCAACATCCCGCGCGCCGGCCAGCCCTCCACCTCCCGCCTCAGCACTCTCCCCTCGCAGAAGCCCCGCCAGCTCTCCCACCTCCACGCGCAACTCGCACAGCTGACGGCGAACGTGTCGGACCTCGAGAACCTGCTGCGGATGACAGCGGTACAGGCGGAGAGTATGCGCGGGCTGGGGGGGTATATGGGTGGAATGTACGTTATACCATTCTCCCTCGTCGCATTCTTTTGAAGATATATCTGGCCTGAGTAAGGGATCTGAATGGTGTTGGAAGAGGCACCGGAGCAGATCCATACGCAATGACGCTTTCTATACACAAGTCACAAGGCTGACATTCTCGTCACATAGGTTCATGGCCGCAAGCAAAGTCCTGGGCGAAGAAACCGTGCGCGGAGGAGGGAGCGGAGCGGGCGGCACGAGCGGGAGTATGGAGGAGCGGAGCAGGAAGGAGGGGAGTCAGGGCGTCTGAAGGCATGGACACGCGCAATGGCATGGGGATGGGAGTCGGTATGCGGTTCGATGAAGAAGAAGCACCTGCGACGGGCCGAACCGCTGCATGTTGGTTCACAGGCCTCGGGATGAATTCGTCATTCGGAGCCCAGATGACATTATTCCATTATGGGAGAACAAAGTTCTGAAAGTGTCCAAGAACGCTTAGCTTGAGAGATGGCGGAAGACGGCTATGGTGCTAGCAGTACAGAGATGGCGCGTGTGGGAGCGTGGGATGAGATAGAAGCTCCCAACATGGGATTGGACTGGATTGAAAGTGTCGGTGAAGGTATGGGAGTTCTATCAGCGACACTTCTAGCTGCCAAAAGTGCCTTCTCCGTTGCAGGATCCCCTCCACTTATGTACATCAGAATGGCAAGTTTCTACGGGCTGTATAGAGTGTGGCAGTAAGTGGGATGATAAAAAGCTCGAGTTGATACACCATGCTCTATCTCGGCCCTATCGAGCACAGCGCTCGTTTAGGAGAAGATAGCAAGTCGCACAATGGCATTTATGCACCCCAAATGCAGGGAGTCAACGCCTTATCTGCCAGATGCGCAGCGTCCCCAAACATCTGGTTCGACGGAGTCGATCCGCCACTGCAGGTCATCCTGACGAACAACAGGGAGCACGCCGATAAGATTGCCTAGGAGCTGCGATAGGAAGCTGACGCTGGCAGCTCGGGGGTCCGTGGTGTCGTCGTAGCCCCTGTTTTACCGTTGGCAGACTGCGCGGTGACGATGGGGGACAGATCATTGGTAGCAGCGCGAGCTGGCCGTTATCAAGAAAAAGATAAGCTATCGATTCGCAAGCCTGAACGTCTGTGAGGTGCGCGCGCACGGAACTTCAAACGTGTATATATATAAGGCGAGGGCCGCCTGCGTCTATGGTCTGGAAAGAATCTCGTCATGTTCGACGAGTATGACTCGGTTTGGTGTCGCTCTTCCGCTGTCCGTACCTGCATCTTGGATCCAACCGGATTCGCATGTCACGCCTCCCTGGACGTACCACTCCGGACCAGGACCCGCTACCTACTTACCTACCCATTACCATGGACTCTTGGAGCAACAGCTTTCCTTAACAACTTGCCTGAAGGACATCATATTGAAACCTGGACATACGATGGGGATAGGTCACGTGTTGATTGGCCAGTGGTCACGAGATGTGGTTGGGGTTGAGAAAAAGTGGAAGAGTGGAAGTTGGAGGCGGGGCGGGAGGACGACAACTCGACGACTCCTCCCACGCCCGATGTTTTCATCGCGTCTTCGACATGCCGGCTTCTGCGGGACGACGCCCGATGCGTGCAGGTCTCGTTCGACACACTCTGATCGGTGAGCGCTGGCCTGCAGACAATTATTTGGATTTCCAGGATACGAGGCAGGAATGAGACAAGCCCCCCACGCTCTATCCCGCGCTCATCTCCAGGAAACGCACTTCGGGCAGCTCCTTGCCACTGTCCGGCGAAGTTCCCCCTGGTACAGCTGGCGCGCATTTCTGCGGCATCGGCGGTACTACTCTGGACGGACGGTTGGACTGGACTGGGGAGGATGGGACATGTATGTACGCGCGCTTCGGAGTTTTTCCACCTTGCCACCTATGTTCGCGGTCAGCACGGTGGCGAAGCGAGACCAGCGGGATCTGCCCGTTGAAGACGGTACAGCAGTCGTGAAGAAGTAAGAAACCTGGTGTCGGAGATGTACTGTAAGTGTCGCGGCGAGGTCTCTCACAGCACGGCGACCAAGAGAAAGCACGGGAGCTGGACACGGCAACGGGAACTGTCGGCTCAGCAAGTCGATTGATGCATGGTCGGCTCCGCACACCCTTGGCGCGCTGACCTGCAGATTTCCGAGCTGGTGGCTTGAACGTGCAGGGACTCGGCTGCATCCATGCTCGGCGACCCCCACGAGTCCAAAGCATCCGATGGATATGGAGAGTGGAGTTACCCCTCCTGTGCGCGCCCGAGCCGAGTGTCGTGTTTCCTGGAGATGACGAGGGCGGGCGACGAAGCCGCACGTCTCTCTCCACTGGTGATCCCAACGTGAGCGCGGCGATGTTGACAGAGTTGGCGTACACTCCGGCAGCCAGACTACAGGAGCTGGCTTGCTCGCTGCCACGGGACCGGCTGTTGGATGGCCGTTGGGATTGGCTGCAGCCGTTGGAGATCAGCATGTGAAATGCCCCACGGGATCTGCCTCCAGACGCGAGACACCGGCGGGTGGACGACACACGACGTCGCTCGTCTCACGCCTTGGCCGGTCCATGAATCGCGGCCTCGGAGGACTGTTTTTGATGCTCTGGAGCTGTGTCCCAGTCCCAGCATCAGAGCACTCGCATCTTCAGCTTGCTACTGTAGATCTAGGCCTTGGCCGCAGTAATACTTGCTGATGCAGAGACGCAATGCCCCTGTCGCTTGAAGCCGCCAGGCTAAATCTCGCAAGCTGCAGCGGACCGCCGCCTCTGACCCTGGCCCTGGGCGTGCTAGTCGGGCTCCGTCGAATAGAAAGTGGCAGTTCAACACTGCCTGAGCTGGCCCTAAGAGCTATCAGGGCTCTCAAAACTGGCGATTTACAGTTTTAAATAAAACAGCGGAGGAACTCAAGCGGTGCCAGCCCAGCCTGCACATGCACAGAAAGAGTGCAGACTGGAGTTCAAATCAGAACACAATTTCGCAGACTGCCACTTCTTGTTCAAGGGAGCCTGCTAGCACCCTCGCTATGCGCCGGGTGTCCGACACTGCCTTCTAGAATTGCCTGAAGGGGCGCGATCTCCAATCCTAGAGTAGATCTGGCAGGGTCCCTGCATCCTAGCCTCTGTTGTCTGAGCATTACGCTTTGCTTCTGGACAGCAGACGGTGCAGCAGCCGCTTGGTGGGTCCACGGACGGGGCTTAGGGTGCATATGCGTGGAGACGTCGGTGCTTTGAATATTGTACGGAGCGCGCGGTGTTGGATGTGGGCAGCCTGTCGTGTGGCGAGCCCTCCTCGCTGCTCAGTGATAGCAATGAAACAGAGTGAGGCCAAGCCGGCCATCCGCGATTATTTCCGGACTGCACAATTCGTAAGAGCGCACACGTCCCAGGGCCAATGGACCCTTTGATGCGCCCAGTAGTTCGCGATGAGCACGGGTCAGATCGTCGTCTTTGCCCCAGGCCCAGAAACGCGTCGCGGTGGTCGTCTTCCAGAGCAATTGAGCGCGCTTTGATTGGCGCTGCGGCCTCCCGCTGGTCTGGATCCAGTGCTCAGCATCTGGAAGGCCGCGGAGACAAGAAGCTGAAGGGCGCCGGGATGTCGACAGGCCTGCGCCTCTGCTTCCAGCGCTGGCTTACGCGACGTTTGATTGGCGACATCGCCGCGGCACGTCAACGAACAATGAACCGAATGGCGCGACGCTCTGGTCGGACACGCAGACGTGCGCAGAATAAGGCTATTGAAAAGAGGGTCCAAAACGTGGACAGGAGCACGCGAGGTCCCGGAATGGCCTCGGGTGTTTGAGGAAGAGGGGAAACATCGGCCCGCTGGTGGGCGGAAGCGCGAAGTGGGAAATGCCGTGGTGTTGAGGTTGGCTGCGGCACAACAGCTGCTTTGGGCCATGGGAGCTCTCGACGACGCCGTCTTCCTTGCTGGCCTCGCCCACGGTGGAGCCTGCAGGAGCAGTACGGCCTCCTGCCTGCGGGCTTTGAGCTGGTGCGAGTCCTGAATGTTGCAGCGTCGTGAAGAGCCCCACCTAGTGCTGAAGAGAGCGCGCCCCGAACCGTCCTGCGTCGACGAAGCTTTGGTCTGCTGTATGCAGACGAAGGTGACTGGACGGCCGGCTGGACTGCCGACATAGTACGGCCGTCTCGAGTGCACCTGGCTGTGAGGTCTGCATGGTGGTGTCCAACGCTCATCCAGCGGCGGCGAGGTGTAGCGCGTGGCGGTGGACCTGCCCTGTCTCGAGATCACCCGTGACGGGCGCGATGGAGGCCCGGCGGCTTCATGCTGTATGATGTATGGGCTGCTGTCGTACCAGACTGAAGGCGAGGTGATCGTCTAGCGGAGCAGCGCCCCAGATCGAGGAAGGGATCGAGATGCTTGGCACCAACGGTTGGGAGTAGGTATGTAGCAAATGCCAGGCTAATTGCGTCCCGCCTGGGTTTGCAGACCGCGGTCGACGGCGACTGTGTCTCTGGTCGCGCGCATCTTGAGGCCGTCGTCGTCGCCGGGTACGCGTAACTGGCAATTCATCGTGACGTCCGCCGGCAGCCTCGCCGTTTGCACTCACGGCTGCAACACCTGCAGTCGAGAGGCCTCTTCGTGCAGGGAGCGGCTAGCTGCATGCCCAGCACCGCGCTGGAGCAACTCTGCCCGCCTGTGCGGCCCTCGTATGACGCCAACGGGCGAAGCTTGAGTGTCCCATCCACCCATCCACACGCTCCAGCGGCGGGCACTGCGAGCGCCGGCGCGTGTCTTTGTCCGCCACCTGCGGTCCATCCATTCTTGTGGAGGGCAGCGGGCCCCAGACCGTAGAGCTTGCGGTGTTGCGTCCTGCCACCTCGCCAGAGTGCTATTCTCGCCGTGCCGTCCTCCGCTTCTCGCTCTGCTCGCTCTGTGACTCTGCCCTCTGCCCTCTCGGTCCCCCCAGTGCCGCCTCGCCGCATCGCCAACCTCACCACCACGCTCTGCAGGCTCGCTCCCCTGCGCACCCACTCGCTCGGCTTGCGCCTGAAGAAACCTGGAGCAGCGGGGCGCCACTTGTCTGCTCATTCGGGCCCCCAGCTCCCCAGTGCCCCCACGCGCGGCACCAGCACGCACCACCAGGCCACTCGACGCCCGCAGAAGGCCCGAGAGCGCTCAAGGCGTTCGCACCACTGTCGTGAGGCCGCGCCCAGTCTGCAAACTGCCTGCTAGGCCCGCTGCAGCGACAGGCCGGACGCTGCTAGCCCAGCGTCTGAAATTGTCCCGACCGAGCTCGACGCCCTCACGCCGCTGACCTGTCCGCGACCGCACAGAGCAGCCCGTCACGCTGCCGAACGGACGCTGCTCTCCCGTGGGCTGCGCAAAAGCAAAACTCTAGCAATTGAATCCCCGGCATTTCGCTGCTGCCGTCCAACAGTCGCGTGCGCCCCCGGCTTTGCGCAACACCACACCTATGTCTGGGGCACAATATGCGGAGCGTGGGGGAGCCCTGCGCGCTGCTCAAACCAACCACTTTGACGCACCCGCCGATCCTGTCTTCTTCCCTACATCATCTTCTCCCAGACACTTCCGCGTCCCTTCAGGCCACTTCGACCACGACTCGGGCTCCTCGTCCGCCGTCCAGTCTCTCACCTCGGCCAGCACGCTGGACAGCAAGCTGGATTTTTCACCCTCCGATGCCGCTGCTCGCAAGGGCATGCTCCAAGACAGCTTCTTCCCGACCTGGAGCAACGATGCGACCGACGTCAATCTAGACAGCCCGGAGGAGATGCAGAAGAATGACCCTCTAGCCACCCAGATATGGAAACTGTATAGCAAGGCCAAAACCCAGTTGCCCAACGCGGAGCGCATGGAAAATCTGACCTGGCGAATGATGGCCATGAGCATGAAGCGCGCTGAGCTGGATCGCAGAGGGTTCGTCCGCCTGACCCAGCAGCTATTTGCGATTTGAGCCCAGGGCCATGTTAACAGCAGTGCTCCAGGTTGTCGCGATCCAACTCCTCATTCATACCCTCCTCGAGCTCCATGTCGGCGCCCAGCGGCATTGCGCAGCTGCGGAAATCCGTCGACCAGCAGGCGCACGTCCAGGCGCAGCAGCCTCAGGCCGACGCGATGAATCTGGACGATTTTATATTCCCTTCGTCGGTTGCGTCGCCCGCGGGTTTATCTCCGTCGCCGTCGAATGAACGCACAGCCTCGTCCAATACTACTGCACCGGGCATACCGATAAGGAAGACTAGCCAGATGGGCGATCAAAACCACCACCTCGCCCGCGCATCAGCCCCATCTGTTCCCCCAACCATCTCGAGAGAGCACGACTTTGAATACATCCAACGGCACGTGCGCAAGACAAGTATCGATGAACGACGGGTAAGTAAATGCCTTGTTCGGCGCCCTGCTGCCCTCTCAGTCCTTATCTAACAGCACCAGCCTCGCAAGCGACCAGCGGAGAACTCCCCACAGGTTCCCGCCGTTAACAGCATCATGATACCCAATGAGCCCGAAGCAGACGCGGCTCTCCATCACTATACCCTAGACCAGCCAATGCATCCCCCCACCTTCCAGCATCACGGCTCTCAGCCACAGGTACCCTACTCTATCGACAACTTCCAACTGCAAGACGATCCCATTATTAGCTCCGCTGGCCCGTTCCAGCAGCAGTTCACCTTCTCTCCTGTTGGCTCGCCTATGATGGCCCAAGGTGGCCCATACTCTGCCATGTACAACCCTAATTCAATGGGCTCTTCACTAAATTCCGCCGACTACTACTCCCCTCCTGGCTCCGCCTACCCATCCACCGTGTCGACGCCGCAGCCAATGGCCGAAGGCGATGGCCAGATGTACTTCGATCGCACTGGCATGGACATTCGCCAACCACACGGTCTACCAAGCCAATACGGACCGCATCGACCCTCGGGTCTATCCAACGCGATGCAGCCACAGTACATCTTCAACCCAAGCGGCGAGTCTATCTTCAGTGCTGTCACCAGCGCTGCGCCGCCTACGCCATTCTCGTCGGCTCCCGCCTTCCATCAACCAAACCATGTTGACCCGTCGCAAGTCCTTCACCAAGACTTCCCGTCGCGGTCGGATACGCTCCAGAGCTCTCGGCAGGATAACATGTTTTCGTTCGGAGCTGATTCTGACAACGAGGACGATGAGGGTGGTGCATTCCCCGACCGTACCATGCCCATGCAAGCCGAGTATTCTCCCATGGACGAAGGGCCGTTAGACTTTAGCAATGGCTTCCAGTGGGAGACTAGTCTGTCGAACCAATTCAACCCTGTCCCGGCTCGCTACCCGGCGGGGCCCCCACGCAAGCAGGTTACCATTGGGCCAACGGAAATGGTGCCTTCACCGCAAGATCATTGGAGCCCGGGAGGCAGCCTTGGCCGTACACATGGCTCTGCCGCGTCAGTCAGCGACATCCGCAATCGTGGCAACGACCCTAGACGGCAGAAAATACCCCGCACCAGTTCCACTCCTAACACTGCCGGCCTCGCGCACCCGCAAGCAATGCATGGCCGGCCGCAGTCATCGCCGAGCTCACCACCAGAATCCGGCTTCAGTTCCGCGGCACCTTCGCGGCCTACCAGTCCGGGTGGAACCAAACAGGGTGACCAGAACGGGGTGCCGACGACGTGCACGAATTGCTTCACCCAGACTACCCCGTTATGGCGGCGAAACCCCGAAGGGCATCCCCTGTGCAATGCGTGCGGTTTGTTCTTGAAGCTGCATGGTGTTGTGCGGCCACTATCGTTGAAGACGGATGTCATCAAGAAGCGTAATAGAGGAAGCGGCAATACCGTCCCCGTCGGCACAGCATCAACACGCTCGTCCAAGAAGGCATCGCGCAAAAACTCCCTTGCACAGACGCCGGTCACCACTCCCACATCTGCAAAAGCTAGTGGCGGTGATTCAGAGTCGCCCAAGTCTACAGGGTCTGTCAGCGGCGGAAACTCGGCTCCAAATGCCTTAGGCATGTCTGGTGGCGCCGCAGGAGTCAACAAGAGTGGCGTGGTCCCAATCGCCCCAGGGCCGCCGAAACAGCAGAGCGCCGGGTCAGGTTCTAACCAAAACCGCAGTGGCAATGCTCCTCCAAAGCGGGCACGTCGGCCAAGCAAGTCTGGCATGATGGAATTCGAGATGGGCGACGCCGACGACACCAGTGGAAAGGCACTGGCACCGCCGACGGCGCGGAAGAAGGAGCCGGCGCCAATGATCCCGCCCGGTATGGGCTCCCAGAACATGGGCAGTCTGCCGATGGGTGCTATGGGACAGGGTCTCGCAGCAGGAGTCAGCGGGCCCCAGGAATGGGAATGGCTCACAATGAGCTTGTGAAGCGTTACGAGGACACGCACATCGTGCTGTATGTTTTCGCCGCGGGTTGACGACCAGCAACCGGCATCCGGATACCTTGGGTGGTACCCCTTACTATTGCAGCGCCTAAGGATGGCTTTAAGGCGGTTGACATTGTCCTGCCACTACTGCCTGATGAGGTCGTTTGCAATCTACCACCACCAGCTTTCCCGTCTATCAATCAGCACATGCATCATTTGCGACATGGCTCGTGGCGTTCTGGAGTTCTGTACTTGCTTCTGATTTTTGGGAGGTTGGGCGGTTTGTGAGTGCAGCGTTTCCAGACTCAATACGTCAGTCTCTACCACCATTGATTCCCCCCCTAGGACATTTTGTGTTTTCCAAAGCTATGGTTTTGGCTAGCAGATTCTTCATGATACCTCGGATCATCCTGTCGGGGTGCCCTATAGAGCCGTCTTGGTAATTCTTTGGAACGACACTACACTATAAACTACCTTATTGGTTATTCCCCGCTCGACCCGCTGGGTGAAGGAGGCAGGCGCTTCACACCGGCATCAATCACATCACTACACGACAACTACCACCGAGCGCGAGAAACTCTTGCGCCGCAATTCCCGGGACAGCGGGTAGGTACTCCCGCTCTACCGCAGAAAGCATCTATCTACGAGGAGGTGGTTCACTGGTTCCACGGGGTCCACGGGTTGGCTTTATATCCTTTTCCTTTCGAAGCTGCATGAATCTGATGAATTTTCGAGTTTGAGTGATTCCCTTAGATCAATGGTGTTCATGTTTGCTATCTGCTTTGCTTCTCCACTTCTTTATGGGATTGCGTTGTACTGTGTGGGCTGGAACGCAATGGAAATGGGTACATAGAGGGCCATTGTGGATCGTGGGGTTTCTGTCAAGGAGGCAGACTAGATGGGACGGATGGGATGGACGATTGCTTATGTTGATGTTGATGTCAGGGGCCGGGCTGGGGGCTAGGTTTCGACGGAACTGGCCAATAATGTCGGTTGCGTTTAGGTCCTGGCAGGAGGGCATCTAGTAATAACATGGTCGTGCTAGGCACGTGCCTTTTGCTTTATCAACATGTTTGAGGCCTCTGACGTTCGATCTGACTACTTGAAACTACATTACTTTCCGTTGTATGCCAATTTCTGGTCTGAATTGAAGGGCCATGGAATTTGTGCAGTGAAAACGACGGAAGATTGAGCTGACTGACTACCTCATATCATCGTGACTCCGTAGTTTTGGAATATCGCTGAGTTCACATGTTAAAATACTTTTGAATTGGCGTATGTGCCACCTTCAATTCGCCCAAGGTCTAGACTTCGGACTGGCTCCCCTAGGGCTATTCATACATCCAGCCGCAATCCTATTTTCGTTGTCCAACTCCGACGGTCACTATTTTTACATCTGATGCCTTGCAAATCGAGCAGACAAGCCCCTATCCCTGCTTCATTATGTGTACCTCCCAGCTAGCCTAATTGAGCAGACAATCTTCCACTGACGTTCGAAAGCCAGACTAGAAACCCTGTTTTGCATCTAGTTCTTTATAGATATTCTGCAGCATCCTTAAGTTTAAACCCACGCGCATAGATAGTCCAAAACTAGAAAAATATGGCCTTAGAAATCCTCACAAGGGGTATCAAGTTCCAAGCTTCAGGTTTCCAGAAATGACACATTAGATGGCGTCTAATCCTCTGTAGAGGTATCTCCAACGAGCGGTCGAGTCTTTCCGTGAAACACATACACATCAACAGTTTCCGTAGGCTTCTCCTCGTCCCCGGGAACTTGGAGGGCGGTCTGACACCCAATCACGAAGCCGGCATCGAACATAAAATCGAAGAACGCAGCTTCGCTGGAATGGCGCACTTTCATGGCAACCAATACGATAGCTTTGGGGGACCTTTGTACAAGCGCGGTAAGCGTGCGGACGAGTGAAGGGCTGCTGTCCGCGTTGTATGTGCAGTCGGCTAAGACGATCAGGTCTAAAACCTTGCTTTGAACGTCTTGAGGGAGAGGCTCATCCCAATCCAGGGTTGTAAATGAGACTGAGGATGACATGGCTGGGTTCATGATATCGATGTTTTTCGCGACAATTTCTTCAGCTTCTGCGAGGTCCGTGAGGAGAACTTCACAGTCTGGGACACTCTGTGCAAGGCCGATACCGACCTGAACCACATTAGTATAGCGGCACCTCAGAAAAAAACCTTCGCATGAGATCTCTTACGATTCCACACCCCGTGCCAAGCTCTAAGACACGGAGTTTCTTGTAGGTAGCAGAGCTCAATACGCGCTCCAAAATGTCTAGGCCATTGGCTTGGAGTGATACTATGCGGTCGAGGTAGGCTGAGAGCGCGATGCCGGCATCCCTGGGCAAATTTAGAAGCTGGCGACGACTAGGAGACAAAAAGAATGCTACCATAGATGCCGTGCTATACTCTCGCCAGTCTCCTCCCATATACTTAGGGTCCGATTATTCAACGGCATAAAGCGTCTCTCAACTTTCTTCTCGGCGATGAAAAGTCCGCTTGGGGGATCGATGATGCCGCTCCATGCAGAAACGATACTGGGCAAGTCTGCATTGAGACTATGGTGCATCTCGAAATGGTCCGACTCGGGACTCCCTCTGAGGCTCACATGGAGCTGGACAGGCCATTCAATATCGGTCTGGCCAATATCAAAAGCGACTGGGAGCGAGCGCATGCCACTCGTCCATTTTAGGGCCTTGCGGAGGGCGATCTCGCCAGCAGTATCGTCTGAACAGAGGGAGGCGGCCAGGACGACATCCTCGGCCAGGAATGAGTCGCCCAAGTCGGAGGCGATGGTGACTAGAGCGGTTAAAATGGTGCCTTGCAGTCGTGGCGGTTTGAGAAAGCGAATATACCGCATCGTCGATTGCGGACGTGGGGAAAATTGAAGTTTTTGGGTCCCTTAAAGGTGCCTCCGAGGGCTAATATGTATGACGTCGAGTCTTCCTAATTCAATACAAAGCGTCAAGCCACTGCCGTTGCGAGATGGTCCCGATGTGCCTGCTGTTGAATGGCCTCTTTGAGAAAGGAAACTTGTGAAGTCGACGCTTGGATGTACCGGGCAACGCAGTGAACATCCGGCGTTATGTCGCTATGGGTTCCAATCGCTCACCATCGTCTGAGGTGCTTCGATGCATTGGAAAATTCTTAGCAAGGCGTAGAGTTCTTGAGCCTTGAAATTGCTGGTGGGTTTTCCGCATCTGGGAGGTTGACTTGAAGCCACGTATCTACCCACGTTCCCAGCCATCTTTTTGTGGTTGAGGTTTCATTGCTGCCCACGCGGCTCTTTCACGGACGTACCGCCTGGCACCTCGCTCAACACCACACCCCACACCTCGAGCTATCGCAACGTCCATGTCTCGCAGGCCGGCGCCTGCCCGCCCGCATCTGCAATGTACCACCGAGGCGATCCACGCTGGACGCGGCGCGTCGACACCATCGTGCACGGCATCGAGTCGGCCAACGAGTCGGCCCAGGCCAACCTCTTCACCTTCGCCCACAACTACATCGGGCCCTGTCTGGGCTCTATAGGAAACGCCTTCCACTCCTGCACCGCCTCCTGTTTCCCCTCCCGCGACGACCGTCGCCGCCACCGAGGCCGGTCGCGCGGCCGAGCTGAACTCAGCTTCGACTTCTATGACGACTGGGAAGAAGACGAGAACGATGGCCTGCTCGGATGGGGGAACGACGAGCTGGACCGCCTGCTTGCCGGCTCGAGGGGCAATGGCGCTGCACAACCTGCGCGCCAGCGCGCCATGAGCTATGGCACCAGACGGGACCGCGATGGTCGGTTCCCAGGTGGACGCCGGAAAAGCGCAGTACAGCCTCACGATGGCGGCCCGGATCCTACCATAATTCCCAGTAGTTCCTATTTTGGCTTTCTGGGCAGGCTGCCCTTCAATATTGGGGGTAGGGGACTGCGATACAAGCCATCGGCCGCAGACTTGACCGAGCATCCAGGCGCGCTGCGCCGAACCGATGAAGAACAGCCTTTGGTGGAAGATAGTGACGAGGATGAGGCTTCTGGGGAAGGGAGAAAAGGACACAGACGGAAAAGAAGCCAGACGGCCCTCTCGGGACACTCGGGGCACACCACGGACTCATTGAGCTCCAGAGGGGACATATTTCCGAGCGAAGACGAGGACGACGCTGTGCCTTTAGACGACGAGTTCACAATGGCACTGGAGCGGCGGCAAACGGGACAGGGAATGGACGATACCAGCAGCGGGAAAACGAAGTCGCCTAAAGCAAGGCCGGCTGGTTCTCGCATGTCGACCCGGACAGCTTCGTCACGAAGCACGCACGAGTCGGGACGAAGATTCAGAGCAAATTCTCAAACTAAGCACCGTGACGCTGGAATTGAGGAGGTCCCCTCCTTGTCCGACCTCAAGCAGGAAGAGGAGCGCTTGCGACTAAAGGAAGAAGCGGAAGTCGAAAGGAAACGCCATGAAGCACGTCAGGTAGCCCTCAAACGGGGGCTGAGCGTGGACAATTTCACAGTAAGTTCGCGGACTACGGCAAATGCGCCTTCGTCGCTAATATCTGAATAGCCATCTGAGGGTAAACATGACGCTGCAGTACTGTCGCCATCAAGTTTGCCGTTCCAGAAGAGCTCGACCCGTCAGTCTTCCTCTCCTGCGCGTTCTCCACAAATCGTGGAACCGTCTCAGACCCCTGAGACCATGCCATTCCCGACCTTCGACTCTCAAACTGCTCTGGAGAGCGGTGCCTTCGACATGGAAGGATCAGAGCTTTCAAGTGCTATCCCGACCCCAAACGGGCCACTCTCGTTGAGAAATGAAGTAGCGCAAAGTCAGCCGACTTCAACGTTTGTTCCCGCACGACTCCCGCATTTTGAGCTTGGACCGGACTGAACGAGACCATGAGGGTTTGATTGTACAGGACCATAATCTCAAGATCCACCAGCCTCAGGCCACCCCTTCCGACAGAATTACACCAAATTTGGGCAAGGCGGGAGCGGGTTCGAGAATTACACGATCTTATCCTAGGGTAGGACGTCCCGCGGATCATCGGCAGCACGAAAACCCTCGAGGCGTATTCCAGGAGCTAGCCGTTTCTGTAGAGCCAAGTTCTCTGTGGACACAAAAACCGGAGTCAATTTCATGGAAAGAGGCCCCCTTCATGGACCCTCGGCCGCGGAAACATATCTCCTTGTTCTCCTCACTGTTATCAGTTCCTTGATGCTACTCGGGCCTTTTCTGACCTGTGTGTGGGTCAATCTGGTATTCGTTGACCCAATGATCGTGGTATTTTACGACAAGACCAACGTCATCCGTTCCATCGTTCTGGAGTACCTCATTCAGCTTGCAAATTTCCTGGCGTTCGTCGTTTTGCTATTATCACCCTTGCAGCGAAGGATGAAGCCGATGAGCCGAACATCAGCCGCATGCCAGCCGCTGGTTACGATATCAACGAGTTTTAGGAGTTCCGGCATGATCTTCCAGTCAATATCACAGACTGAAGACTTCGAATAGGTAGATGGGTCATCTTTACCTAGGTGAAGACGAACTTCACTTCTCAAGTACGATTGCTGTTGGAACGCACTTATTACTACCATGGAATTCGTTCTGTGCTCAAAGATCCTATTTTGACGACATGAATTTTGCCTCCTCTCCAAGCGTGATATTTTGTTCCTCTCCCCTTCGTTTCCAGCCCCCCTTTTTGCAACGCAGCGTCGCACCCCTCCCATCAATCCTCCTCCGTCAAATTCACACACTCCACCTCCTTCTCCGACCCTCTTCCTTCTCTCTCCCAAAAGCCCCTCAAAGCCCCATACCCAACCCCCCTCCTCATCCCCGTCCCCTCGTCCCAACTCGAATGCAACCCCACCAATCCCCCCGTCTTCGTCTCCACCAACGGCGCCCCTGAATGGCCCCAATACGTCCAGCAATCATGCATCAGCGCCCCAATCTCCTCATTATCCTCCACATCCTGCCCCGCCGCATACCCCCGCCACGCCCCGTGGCTGACATGCAGCACGTCGTACCCCGTCGCCACGCCGCTCACAGCGGCTTCGAGGTCTTCGCTGCCCGGGTGGCCGATGCAGAGTAGCTGCGCGCCCGTTTGCGGCTCCGCGGAAGCAAACTCGATGTACGGGAACAGGTTTGGAGAACCAGGGCTCGGGGTAGAGGCGGCGACGATTCTTAACATCGCGAGATCGCGGCGGGCGTCGAAGGCGATGCAGCGCGCTTCTACGACGCGGCCGCTGGAGAAGAGCAGCCAGTGGCGTGCCGAGAGGTCGAGTTCTTCTGCGTTCTCAGCGACGCAATGCGCGCATGTGAGGAGGATGCCGCTGGGGTGGATGCAGACGGCTGTGCCAGCGGCTTCTTGGGCGAATACGAGGGTGGCGGAGATGGCGGCGAGGAGGGGGGCGCTGGGGGAGACGGGGTTGGTGCGTTGGCGGGTTGGCTTCTTGGGGGGGAGGGTGGCGGAGGCGAGGCGGTGTTGGGTGGATGGGGAGGTCAGAAGGGCGCGTTTTTGGAGGAGAAGAGCTTGGGCAGGGGTGGGGAGGCCGGTTGTGGTGGTTGTCAGGGTGGAGAGGGGGGTGATGAGGGTGATGGGGATGGCTGGGGTTGTAGATGGTTGGAGCTCGGATAGGAGACCTGGAATTGACGTCGAGGCTGATTGAGATGGGGTGGGTTCTTTGCTCTTGCTTTGCTCATCTTGCTCTTTCCGAGACCGTGATCTGGTTCGTCGTTGTGTGGGCTCTGGTGGTGCTAGGGCTGGGGAGGTAGCTGTGTGTTTCTGGCGGCGAGCTGGGGCTTTAGGCCCCATTTTTTGGGAGTGGTTAGTATGAAGATGCAAAGAGGAATATATGACGGATCCCTCTTTAGTATGGATACATCTGATGTGCGTTGCTTCAGGCAACAGTCAGGAAGTGTGCACAGCCACCATACAAGCCTCAAAAGCCAGTAATGGACTAGTATACTAGATAAAACACTAAGGGCTTAGAATATCGTGATGGCCAGTGTCACATATTAGTTGTTGTTAGACGGCTGCGGAAATTGACTGGAAATTGTGTGCTATATTGATGGTAGCCCACTTTGGGATGGACTTCTCCCTTGATAAGCCCCTCAAGAACGCCATAAAACTTCAAGTCGTGCCTGACTATGCATCAGGCGGGTAACGCCTGGGTGAGTGCCTCGCTGGTGCCGGTAACGCCGTGATATGCAATCGTCTAGATGTAAAGAAAGTTCAAACCCTAGTTGCCACTGCCACTCGGGGCATTGGACCCAATCTCGCTCAAAGTGCTGTCCTCTTTACTCAGCGTGAGCTTGAGCTTCTTCCGCGGTGATTCTTCCGCATCGCCATCTCGGTCTCTCTTCCCTTCTCCTCCTGCTTTTGACGCCCCAGAACCGCCTTCAGTAGGCTTTGGCAACCTCTTCGCGGCTATCGCTGCCTCCTTCTCTTGTGATTCCTTACTCGCCTTCAGCTTAACCTTCAGCGTGCCATCCTTGCCTCCTCGATCAGCCTTCTTGACATAGGAGCTCTTCTTCTTCTTTTTCTTCTCCGGCGTCTCATTGTCGTCTCCGTCGTCATCATCGCCACCCTTCTTCACCGGGCTGATTCGCTTATCTTTCCCCGCAGCAACGCTCCCTTGTGAAGCCGGCACCGGTGTGCCCATGCGGCTTCCCAGCGGAGTATTTCCCATCCCACTACCATTCCCATTTTGCCCAGTCAGCTTCGCCATAGCATTCCTCGAGCTCTGACGTCCACTGATACCCAGACACTTCTCCAGATGCTGTGCGAACCGCGTGATTAGCAAGCTGCGCTTGCAATTGGGACATGTATGCCAGGGGATGTAATGTGCAGGTTTTCCACCGGTGTTCAGCTTGGGTTCAGCGGTCATGTCTGTGTCCTGTGATCCTGGCGTTCCGACCGACTCCTTGTCCGCATTCTTCAGCTGCTGCTTCTGTAGCTCCCGCTCTTTTTTGCTCTTAGCCATGTCCGTCGGAAACAGGTTGCCGTACACGTCGTGGCCTGGCCGCTGCACCCACGGATGTAGATTGCAGTATTCCTTGGTCATGTCTGGTGTCTGCGCCCCCTTACCTGACGCGGGATACTTGAGCCGTGGGAGCTTGCAGTGCGGGCAGATTATCTCCGGGGTTGTTTTTAGTGGATTGCCCTTGAGATGTACTCTGTGCCCGTCCCAGCTGGCGGCGTCATTGCTGATAGGGGGAGGTGGCGGCGGTGCGTGAGCGTTCTTGGCGGAGGGCTGCGAATCGAGCTGGGCGACGGCGAGGGATTCGACTTGGGTGGCGGCCGAGGACATGCGGAGGAGCTTCTCGGAGCGGTGGCAGGACAGGGCGATGCTGGACATGACATCGTAGAGGACATCTTCGAATATGTGCTTCGTCTGGCACCAGTTGGGTCAGTATATGGGAGTGGCAGAGCAAGGGAGGTGAACCCATACAACTTCATCCAGGGTTGCCGGCGAGATGTGGACGCCAGACTTCAGGAGGTCCTCCAACTCAGCCGGCCCGTCCTCAGACATGGTGGAGGGTGTGCTCGTTGGTAGGTGACGTAGAAGGGAGGGCTTGGGCAAAGCGAGGCTGCGGTCCTGATCACTAAGGCACGGGAAACGAGTGTGGGTCCAGTATGCCGTTTGAGTCCTCGTCTCTCCACGTGTACGGGCTAGGCTAGCAAAACGGGATTAAAGTGGGAATAAGGGTGCGTTTCGGACGCCTGAAATAGCATTGCCGGCCGCTAGGGCTGCACAAGATCGGGGAAGCTTGACCGAGATCTGATTAGATATGATAGGTCACGTGCAGGGAATTGTAGGGAAGCCAAGACAGCAAGAAGTGACTTCTACAGAGGAACTCTTCAACTGTAGTTCCCTTGTGTCAAATATGCATAAGTGCGTCTACGGTGAATGATACACAAGAGGCAGATTGCAATCTTTGAGAACACCGATCTGGGACTAGACGTACTGACAAAGTAAGCGTATGGCATGTCAGCAGGCAAGAGCACGATATAGATAGCTGGATTCAGGATCAATTTGGACGGAAGTATACGAGTCAAAGACCACTTCTGGCTCTATCACCCCCTTATTTCTCCTCAACAGAGGCAAAAAGCCTTCTACCATCCCCAACAGCGCCATTCACCCCATGTGACGACCACATCAATGGCATGACTCCAACCCCGGGCATACCTCATCACGCCAAATCAGCGGTATCAACAATGCGAACCGTGCTCAGATTCCATATTAATACCTACCCGTGCTCATCACTCCCACCCCCTCTGAAAGCATCATCACGCCTCAACGCAAATGAAAAAAAACGATCGAATCTCCACTCTCCAAATTCTCACCAATCATCCTTTTCGTCCTCATCATCTGCAGGGTATTAGCATCTTCCCCAAACCAATGAAGAGCATAAAAGGGGGTAGAACTTACCACTATGGCTAACCTTCGCCTTCCTCGCCGCAAGCGCACTAGCCAGTGCTCCAGCCAGCCCTCCCTCTGCCGCATTCGGAGCAGCTCCACCGGCCGCACCCCCAGTAGCCGCCGGCTCGCTACCGGGCACTAGTGCCGCACTTCGATCCCGCTTCTCCTGAGAGCTAACTCTCTTGAGCTTAGCGCCGCCGCGGATATCGGCAAGCAGGTTGTCGACGACGGGGGCTCTCTTGGGCAGGCCTTGGGCCGCGGGCGCGCCGGGCATGGGAGGTGGTGGTGGCGGACCGCTGCCAGGTGGCATCGGTGGCGGGGGAGGCACGGAGGAGTTGGGCATGGGTGGTGGTGGGGGGACTGCTGAATGCGGCATAGGGGGGGGAGGCGGGATTGAGCTCGTAGGCATAGGAGGGGGGGGAGGAATCGAGCTCGCAGGCATGGGCGAAGGCGGAGGGATGTCCCGAGAGGGTGGAGGTGGTGCGTGATTTGATGGCGGAGGAGGTACATGACGAGTAGAGGACGGAGGTAACGGAGGCGGTTGTGGGGCGCCGTGGTTCGAGGGTGGCAACGGAGGAGGCGCCGAGGATGTCTTTGGAGGCAATGGCGGCGGCGGAATGTGTGCAGGTGGAGTCTGTCGAGCTGGTGGTGGCGGGACATGTGCTGTTGGAGTCTCCCGAGCAGGTGGTGGGGGAGGAACAGGTCCACGACTTGGCGGAGGGGGTGGGTTTACCGGAGCCCTGGAGCCTGTGAATGGCGGTGGGACACCAAACCTGTGGCCTGGCTCTGGCGCCTCTTCCATCGGTGTCTTTGGCGGCCTGGGAGGAGGTGGAGGCCCTGGGTTCGTTACTGTATTGGATTCGGCCCGAGCTCTTGACGGTGGCGGCGGTGCGTTTGTGTGCGCGAATTTGCCAGCATCTGCAATTGGAGGAGGGGCACGGAATTTGGGGCCTGGTGGCGCGGGAGGAGAGGCCTGGCGAGGTGGAGAGGGCGCCGGACTAGCTGGTGATGCTGCAGCGTCAGTCTTGGTCCTTCGTGCTGGCGGAGGAGCTGGCGGCGGTCCTCTTCTCGATGTCGACGATCCCGTGTTTTGCGGACTTAGGGCAGTTGCTTTCATGGGCGGTGCACTTGGTGGTGGAGGCGGTGGAGCCCTTGATCGTCGTTCCGCAGCACTCTCTTCCACATTCTCTTGCGCCTTCCGCTGCTCAATGTACATTTTGATGAAGTCCGCATTGTCCTCAATCTGGTCCTCTGTGATGCCCATTGCCAGTAGTTCCTTCACCAAAGTAGGATCCGTGGTGTCGATTGCTGAGTTACGGCTGCTTGCAGCGTTCGAGTGGGTATGCTGAGTAGGAGAGGTAACGGTCATTTCCCTGGGTGGTATAATCGACTGTGCTGGAGGATGATGCGAAGCGGACGAATGTCTGTGGCCAAACAGACCACCCAGAAGGCCGTGTGACTTCCCTCCGCCGCTTCCACCTCCATTCGAGGCCGCAGTATTCATAGCAGACCCAAACGGCTTCGACTTAGTGTTCTTGTGCGCATTCTTCTCCCGATCATCCATCTTCTTCTTGAACGTTTTTGCCTCCTTCTCGTCCGCAAATGACAGTCCCGCAAGGCAATCCTCCAGCTCAAAAGTGTGGAAGAACGTGCGGTCCTGGTTATAGGAGAAGGTGTCGTAGATTTCTTGGTCCCAGATCACTCCGCGGTTGGCAGGCTGGGGCTATCAGCACATACACGTCTTGCGATGCAGAGCATACAATTGCTCGTCAACCTACCGAGACATCAACCATCTTGATCCAAAAAGTGTTCCCGACCAAGTCGTTCGCTAGTACTGCTGCTCCCTGCAGCCCTGTGAAGGTCCATCTTTGCTGGTTCGGATAGGCGACATAGAGCTTCGCAACGGCAACGGCATGGATCTTGTTCGAGGCTTTGGGTACAGTTCGCTTCACCGTCTGCTTATCGTCGTCATTGAGAATCGAAGGCATGGTGTCCAGTGAGGTCGATCACAGTCCTAGACGTCGTGATTGTGAAGGGTGCGGCGAATGTTGGAAGAACGGGAGGGGTGACGCCTGACAGCTACAGCGCTACAGCGCATGGAACGAGCAGGCGATGCGAGGCCGCCAGCAGCGAAGACCAGACAGGCGGTAGGTTAATGATTAGCTGGAGAGGGGCTTTCACTGCTCCAGGGAAGAATGGGTGAGGCCGCTGGGTACCTGGCGGTTGGGGTGTGGAGCTGTGGCTTTGAGCCGCGCAGTGAAGTCAGCTGCCAAGACGTCGAACCCCGTCTGTCGGATTCCATTAACCACATTCATGCGAAGGACCCTTGACATTCACTCAAATGCGCTGTACCTAATCTCGGATACGACGGAGTTTTGTTGACTCTCCGACGTCACCGCAATAGAGGGTTCACTATCTCAATCTTGACAACTCAACAGCATCAATTCGAAGAACAATGACGATGGCGAATTTTGCAAGCTGATGCCTATTGCTTCATTCTCAGGCTTCGACACAGCAGGCTGTGACATTTTGTCCACGTAAGGATCAGACGACGCGGCCTTGTCACAGCCACCACTGTTCATGAACGACGTTTTAGTGTCACCTCGTCGCTTGTAGAAGTGACTCTAGAGCCGGGTGCTGACATCAAACTCAACGGAAAGGCTTTTACGAGCGAGTGAGTGAAACATTGAGATAAATGGTACGAGGTTCAGATAGAAAAGGCTAGATCAAGTTTGAACCAGTGCTCTAGACGTCGAGAGCTTCGTCTGGTGTAGTTTTGCACTAGTGACTTGTTTGCGAGCATCAAGCTGCTTGCTGAGGAGATTCACCAGTACCCATGTGTCTAGAAGAAGTTGCTCAGCCGAACAGTACATGTAATAACACCAAAGGAATAAGATTCACATCCACAGTCGCTTCTTGTCCCGAATAGCTGTCAGGCTTCGCGTAGCCAACATCCAGTAGTGATATGAACCCTTTCAATGGCAAGAAACGGTGGTGGAATCCAAATGCGTAAGCATAACATATACACTTTTTTCATTCAAACGCCTAAGCCAAGAAGTAGCCAGCTCAATAGAACCGCCCATCCTCTGAACGGAAGAGGGAGTATAAATTAGGTACACACCACCGATCACAATCAGAGAAGAGCAAAGCAGTGGTTCAGACTGAGTGTGGAGGGGCCAAAAGGAAAGAGTATGGTGATTCCCAAGTTTCGCTTTCCCTTTCCAGCAGTAAGTAACTGGAGTGCCCCGATACGCAAACTTGTGGGGTTCGGTATGCGTGCATCTACCCTAGATCCCGTTCTTTACTCGACCTCCCCCTTCGACTCAAAGTTCTCGCCCTCGACCAGCTCCGGGATGTCGTCGTCATCTTCATCTTCGCCCTTCTCGCCATCCTCGCCCTTCTCCTTCTGCATGCTCTGGTAGCTCTCGGCGAGCTTGCGCAGCGACGCCAGCGAGTCCGGCCCCAGTTGGTTGAGGATGCCGGGGACGAGCTCCGTGAGCTCCTTATCTTCGCCTTGGCCGTAGATGGCAAAGGTGTTTGCGGGGACGGAGGCATGGACTGTGGTTGATAGAAATTAGCAACCCATGATGCTGAAAGCGGCCACCGTATGTCGGCATGGATGAAAATGAAGACATCAACCCGCGGCTCTCTCCAAAAATTCCCTTTCAAGCCACAGACAGCCCAGCCAGTCTCGGACTTTTCCCGAGCAGATGTAGGAGAAGAATCAGACTAACCCTTTGGCGCAGAGAAATGGATGACATTCCCGTCGCTTTTGAACATGTTCACCTCCTCAATCGCCTGAATCGGCTGCACATTCAGCTTCTTCAAGCTCGTCTGCAGCTTCTTGTCGTCGGTGCCAGCGCTCTTGTGGACCTTCTTGACCTTCCGGCGCGGGGTGCCTTTTCCTCTGTACGCCGGTTCCGTTAGCCATCTGTACTCTTCGCTCTATCTGCTGCCTCAAACTCTTCGCTCCGGTATAGAACCCAAAACCGCAACTGCAATTTTTCCAGGATCGCAAGGGTATGTAAAGAGTCGGAGGCGGGGATTCGAGGGGATTCGCGACGAAGATTCGAGGCTACGGAGTGGAAGAGCTGCTTACCCTAGTCACTCGTATTAGCATCGTTCATCTCTAGAAGCTCTCAGAAACAGCTCTAGAACTCCATCGAGATGATGAAATCTTGGGCTTAAACTCACCAATTCGCACCGACGCCTGCATCCGCGCCAGCTTGGCCTGATCCATATTTGCGGTTGATGAAGAAAAGAAGGGTTGGAGGAGCTGCGCCGTGGTAGAGGATTAGCGGGATGTCTGGAGGCGCTTCTCGGGTATGAATCGAGTGGCTGCAAGGAAGGGAAAGGGCGGTGAGGCGTACCTTGAGAGTTGCAGGATGGAGAGGCGGGCGGGCAGTGCGAAATGGTGAGGTTGGTTCGTGATGATCGGCCTTCGGCTGCCGGGCCACACAGTTTGTGTGCTCCAACTCGCTAAAATTCCAGCATTCACAGGTTATCACTTCACATAACTTGCGACGGCAGGTTGTTTGTGAGACTATTGCATTAGATACCAGGCCGTCTGTTGTTCTGACTTATTCCGAAGACTGGCTTTCCATTTCTGAGAGGCAAAAAGACGTGGGATTCTAGAGCTAGAGGGAATACAGATTTTGTCTTGGCACACCTACACATTTTCGAGGCGTAAGGAGAGTAACTTTTCTGAACATGCTGTTAGCTCGCTGAGTTACCTCAGACGGCGATTATTCCATGTCAAATCATAAGTGCATGTGGTTAAACTATACTGCAGAACACCCTGTTTCTACAAAGACAAAATCTCGTGTTTAGGAGTTTCTGTATTCGTTCTAAACTAAGCATCGTGCATTGGGATGTCCGCTCCAACAACCCAGCGCCGTGCCATAGCATTGCCAAAAGGCTCAGGACGAAGGCACACAGCAGGGGCCAAAACGGCCCATTCGAACCTCTGAGGAAAACTCCAAATGCTCCGCACCGGGTATCGTGACCACTATCCGCCCACATCCCCTTTTACATCGCGTCGCTGTCGCTCAAGACATAGTTGAGCATATTACCACATACCACCAAAGACATATGCCCACATGGGGACTCTATCCGACCACTCCGTGCGCATCCATCGCATCCGTCACGCTCACTTGAAAGCCTTGTCCCACTGCTTGCCGCTAACAATTGGGGGCGCCAGGCTGGCAAGATAGTCCTTACCCTTGACGATGGCCACCATCACAGACGGGAGCTTCCAGCCACCGAAAGCACCAACCCCCTTGCTCTTGCCGACCGGCACAACCTGGGTCTCGGCGAGATTGGCCTTGTACTCTTTGTCCGGAACCTCAGCACCGCTGAGATCCTTCTTCAAGTTGGCCACCACGATCGGGAGTGCTTCCCACATGTCCATAATGCCGCCACGAGTATAGGAGCCACAGTCGCCAAGGACGTAGACACGCTCGCCGGCAGCGGTCACGCGCAGAGTTTTGTCGCTATCGACGAAGCCCTTTTCGTTGAGGAGAGTTTTCGGGAGGAAACCGGTGTTGGGGCGCGCACCGGTGGCGTCGACGTAAAGGTCCGCTTCAATGGTCTTGCCGCCGCTGAGCGAGACAGTGGTCTTGCCGTCGGCAGTCTGGGTTGTAGACTCAACGCGGGTGCCGTAGACCACGTCGCAGCCCATCCTATTGAGGTACTTCTCCGCCGTCTTGGCGAGAGCTTCCCGGAGGACGGGCAGCAGCTTCTTGTCGGCGCAGATGAGGGTGAGCTGGGCCTTGGGGTGAGCTGGCTTGGCCGGCGCAAACCAGCCTGGCGTGCCGTTGAAGAACTCCGCAATCTCGCCAGCAACCTCGACACCGACAGGTCCACCACCTCCAATTACGATGGTCTTTGCAGTTGGAAGCGTCTTGCGGAAGTTGTCGAGGTCGGTCTTCACAGCCTCAGAGTCGGTCTGAAGAGACAGGAAGGGGGCAGGAGTATGGGTGCCAACGGCGAGGATCAGAGCGTAGTATGGAATGGATTCGGTCGCGCCGCCAACAGTAGAGACGGTGACAGTGCGAGCGGCGGTGTCCAGTGCCGTAGCCGTGCCTTGAACAAATTTGAAGCTGGTGCCATACTTGGCGAACTCTTTCTCGAGGGGGTACAGGTACTTGCTCTCGGGGAGAAGCTCGCTGGAGATACAGGCACGGGGGCCCGCAACTCGCCAGTAGAAGTCCTTCGAGGGAGTGACCATCGTGACATTGTAGGTGACGCCATCCTCCTTGGGGAGTGTAGGAAGGATGTGCTTGAGGGAGTAATGGCTGGTGCTGATGCCGGCCCAGCTACCTCCAATCACCAAGACGGTTCGAGCAGACATGTTGTGCGGTTGATTGGTGGTAGGTAGTGAGGTTGTAGTCTGGGGCTTGCTGATGCGGTACTGTCGACGGTGGGTGAGGTGAGGAGATTGGTGGTACGGGCAGCGTCTGTCGGGCGTGCCTTTTATAGGTATTAGCGGTGGAGTTGAGAGGGCCCGAAGCGCGGCAGGCAGGATCAACAGATTACGCAGGTCAGCAATAAGGGTGAATCAGAGAGTTCAATGCCAGGAAAGGGTGGCCTTATAGCTCCTAAAGGATGTTAAGATCAATTCAGCTTACAAGGCAATTCGCAGTGGATTTCCAACGTTTTCAAGATATTGTTGAAGCTATTGAAGCTTGGGCCGCAGCGGCAGGGATTATCGGATATTTCGAAAGATCCTCTTCCGAAGCCACCAAAGTCGATTACAAAGCTGACAAACGTAAGTTAACTTAACGTACCCTGCGGGTGAGCTGCCCATGCGGGCGAGCTGCCCAGTCCGTGCACCACTAGAAATTCAATAATCTAACCTTAAATAAACTCTACAACTACCTAATAAAAAGTTATACAAATATAATATATTATTCTTATATATATAAACACTTAGTAACGTATTCCACAAGCGAGCCGTCCACCCAAGCGAGCCGTCCACTTCATCATGAAAACCGGCCTCAAACGTTAATTGCTCCACAACGCCAATAGATATCAACTATATACAACTTGTAGCCTAATCTGCAGCAACCTCTGCAT